CGCACGCAAACGTCCTAAGTGGCCCGGCCACAACGGACGAGGAACGCATGGCTTCCATGAGTGACATCAGCATCATGGACGGCACTCTGGGGAAGCTTGCGCTTGCCGTTAGTGAACGCTCTAGCACGACGAAGGAGAGCTGGCTACTGATGCTGGTTGGTGCGGGTGGTGGTGGTCTGGAAAAGGTCCCGTTGGTGATGGCGGCGTATGCGCGAGGAGGGCTTGTGCGTTTCGGTCCCATAGCTGAGGAGGCAACTCTAGCCGACGTTGCCCCGACGGTACTGCACTGGTTTGGTCTTTCCTCCGCTGGTGAGGCGCAGCGTGTGCGCGGGATGTGTTCCACAGGTGTAACTGTCACGAGCTGCGAGACCACAACGAATTGGCCATGAAGTTTGACCAGTGAGCGAGAGAAAAGGGAGAAAAGTAAGAAGAGACATGCGGTATTGGCAGTATTGCCTTGCTATTGAAGTCATTGTAAGTGAGGTGAGTCTTGTCTTTGTATTGTGGTACTTACATATATAAGAGGGTTTAATGGGAAAAGAGAAAAACTTTTTTGTGTTGTATGTGTGCATGTGGAATATTATTGTTGTTGATGTTTGTGTTAAATTAGGTTGTGGTATTGTCTTTTTGTTGTTGTTGTTCATTTAATTTTGTTTAATATGAGCGGGTGTTTGGAACACGTTGTTGTGTCTGATATCGGTTGTGCCTTAGGGGTGGTTGCTTTGCTGGAAGGAGAGAAAGTGGTTGGATTTTGCAGAAGGGAGACGGCCAAGGATGCAGGGCGGCAAAGATGTCTTGTGGGCCGTATCGAGCGTTCATGAAGCGACCGCTGCTTCTGCTGCAGAAATTGTGTCATGTCCTGTGAGGGGTATCTCATCCTCGTCGCTGTTGCCCACATTTGAGGAGGTGGTGTCGCATGGCGATGAAGCTGGGAAGTTTAGTCCCTCTCCTTCCCGTGCAGCGCCGGTACTTCCAGCGTCTTTTGCGTCGTCTTGCTTCACCAATCATGACATCAATGCTGCTAGGACAGACGCGTCTGCGCTGCATGACACAACAATTCTTTCGGATCTAAGTGACGAGATTCAGAGGGTTGAGGCTCGTTTGGCAGCCATTCGAGAAGAGGAGTCGTGTTTGATACCCCAGCGAAAGGTTTCTTCGTTGTCTACTCGCGAATGTGGCCGTTTTTGTTCTGCCTCAGATTTCCATGACGTGGAGTGTATGGCCCAGCTTACTGCTTCAAGTTGTTGCTGTGTAAATCACCTTAATGATACGGGAGCGGCATCAACGGAGCCTGGTGCCCCGTTGTGCAGGAACGCAGATCGAAGGAGTGCCGCGGCGTTTACAAACGTTTCAAAACGACAAAAAAGTCAATTGCATAGAATAGCTATTCCTCCAACTAATGTGAATGATCTAACAAACACGGTAGCGGAAGGAGAGCATCATGACCCTCTGGCGTCTGAGCCATCTACAACTGGAAGCTTGTGTGAGCCGTCGATAGAGGCTGTCACAGCTCAGTTAGAGCCTAAAGGCATCGTTTTTTCTCTTGCAACCTTTCTTCGTCCGCTTCGCGTGGTGGATATTGAAATTGCCGCAGGTGTCTATGAGAAACTAGAGGTATTTGCAGGCGAAGACATGGAAGAGGTGGCACGGTGCTTTATTACTAAACATGGTCTGGACATGGAAAGGGCCTTCCGACCACTTTATGCGTTTCTAATGTCGCTAAACTTGAGTGAAGCATGCAAACAGAACCAGGAGTCCACAACAAAACGAAGGGCTTCTTCACGAGACGGCGGCAACAACAACGTCGCTACTACTTCTAACGGTATTAACTATGCATCTTCTGCCGGAAGCATGTACGGCGTGAAGCATGGTCACATAGACTCTTCGAGTCATGTGTCTGAGGCTAGGACAGACAATGCGGCAAACGAAACAGCAGCACGTCGTCAGAGCTTGGATCCTGTTCAGCCGCCTTCCCCCAGAGGTGTCTCCATGGAGAAAACGTGGAAGGTGGCTGCTGCACGTGGGATTTCACAGTTTGAGAAACGTGTGTCGGGTTGTATGGCGAGTGAGGAAATGTCGTCGTTTCCAAGACGATCCCAGATGAAGATCGCTTATCCGGGGAAGCATGAACATCAGAGGAACACATCGGTGAACAGCTCAAAAAGTCTACAGGTCGGTAGTCAGAAGCAAGCGATTAAGCGGAAACAAGAGCCTTGTTGTAATAATACTACTCCGTTGCGGCGTAACATAGAAGGTGGCAGCGAGGCACGCAGGCTTTCAGTCAAAAAGAATACTCCCCCTGAGGTGGGGGCGGTGGAGGTGGAGGTGGAGGTGGAGGCCATAAAGCCCACCAGAAGACGCACAAATAGTGCACCGAAGGTACGTCCTGTAACGGGAGGCAGCACCCTGACGGCTTCACTGCGCAATTCAACAGAACAGCGTCGAAGTCTTAGTGTTTCAAAGGGCCGTAAATTCACTCTTCTCGAAGAGGAGCCCATGCCAACTTTCAAACCTTCTCTTGCACCACGAAGTAGGCAGCTGGCAGCGCAGGATATAGGGCGTCGCCAAGGCCCTACATATGCCCGTCTGCATGCGCACACTCCGCGGTTGTCAAAAGCCCACGCTACAGCAGCAGCAGAATGCATTGTTAAGCCGAAAATCCTTCCCCGCCAGAGGGAGGACTTGTCTCGAGAGCCTGTAGGGCAACGTCTGTACGATCAGGCGCTGGATCAGAAGCGTCGTATGCAAGAAAAGCGGATCAAAGAACAACAACTGAAGGCCGAAGAAGAAAAACGTTCCATTACTCCAGGGCCATGCATTAACAAAATTAGAGGACGAAATAACCGAGGGGGGGAGTCTCTCTCAGCTACTTCTTGTAGTTTGCGAACACGTACGCCAAATCAGCGAAACCAAAATTTAGATGTTTTGAAAACGCATGAGGAAAGGGAGTTGGAAGAATGCACCTTCTCCCCGGCTGTCAACCCCGCATCGGTTCGTATGTTCAATCTGGTTGTTCGTGGTTTGGCAGTGGATGAGGAACCAGAGGAGGGTGCACGGAACTCAGGGGTGTCTTCGCTAGGCTGTGCACCCAGTGGAGGTAGTAGAACACAAATCAATGAGAATGTTTTCAAGCCATGTTTCGTTGAGGATCGTTTGCTACGTCATGAACAAATTCGTCGTAGAAGGCTTGAAGAGGAGCGATTGTTCAGAGAAACCGTAGATGTGGCAACAGGGCAACCGCTCTTTAGGCCATTTCTTGGACGTTAGAAGCAAAAGCAAGCAAAACGAAACAAAAGAAATGTTATCGTTTTTGGTTATAATTCCGTATTTGCGTGTTCTATGTGAACATGCATTGTCCCTTAGATGCAACTGGTAGCGGGTATCTTCCACTACAATCTGATCTCTCCTCCTACTTCTTTGCTGCTGCTGCTACTGTCGTCGCTGCCGTTGTCATATGTGTGTGTTTCCTTTTGTGGAAATTTGTGGTGGTGGCGTTATCTATTCTATGATTTTGGTTGTGGTTGTTTTTGCTGTTGGAGTTTGCTACACTCTGTAAGGCGTATTTTGTTCTGCCTGTTTTTTTTTTGTTTTGAACCTTCGGGTGCAGTGGGCGGTGGGTGGGCGTGCCCCAATGTGAATGAATTGCTTGAATGACGCCTGCATTCTATTTCTTTGTGTCGCATCAGTTTGGTTTAGATGTGATGAAGGCTGTTTTGAGTGGGAAGCTTCGACTGGCTTCCGTTCGATGTCGTGCAGGCGTGGCCAAAAAAACACCCTTCAACCTTAGCTATCGGGCCTACTTTACGGAGGCGTGTATTGTGATGCATCCGCGGCGGCAACAAGTGAAGTTGGCTTGCCGCTCCTTGCATAGTGCACTGGGCTCGCTCCTAGAGGATCGTCAGTGCTTATATCGCAATGCTGTTCTGATTGCAAAGCTTTCTCCGCATCGACATGAATTACAAAATCTTTTGCAGAGGAACCCCATGCCTGATGTTGGGGTGGCCCAGGGGATAGAGCTAACGAAGGGAAAGCTTTTGGAGTGGAAAGAGGAATGGATACACGAAGGGAGTGGCGATGAAAGCTCCCTCCTAGACTTTTACAATACGGTTTTATTAAGTTCTGTTATCAAGTCGGATGCCGATGTACGCCTAATTTTGGATGTGATGCGAGATTATGACCACCTGGAACCGAATGCGGATACCTACATTGCCATCATGATTTCGCTTATTGCAGGGCGTGATCAGTCAAATCGTCCAGCCGCGGATGTGGCGTTTTATTACTTCGGTCATGCTTTGAAGTCGAGGGGGGAATCATTTATCACAGATAACATGTGGGGGATGCTATTTATTGTGTGTGCCGTTATGGAGGCGGCAGGGAAGATAGTCGATCAGTGGTGGGATCTTCTTGTGAAAACCTGTGAGAATGCGTCTGTCCCGCTACCGTATACTGCCGTGCATGCTGCTCTTACGTGGTGTTCTTCGAACCGTGATGTGGAACGAGTCGTGCGTTTTTTTCACACCGCAAACAGTAGAGGTGTCGTTTTTGTTTCTGCGGATGGGGCACCACCTTGTGTTATTGACCGTGGGGGCCTCACTGAGCCAAGCAGGGACGAAGTTGTGCAGATGTGTCAGTTGAAGCTTCTGGTGAAGCTGATGGTCACAGTAAAGTCTATTAAAATGGATGGTGGCATTAGTGAGCTTGTCGTTAAGGACATTCGACGCCTTATTGGAGCAGATTTGTTGAGAGCCGCACCTTGGGGTGTTATTAATGACCTTCTTAGTGGTCTCTCCATGCCAAGTGCCATGCAATTGTTGAAGTTTCGCTCTATGGATCTTCCAGAGAGGGATGGTGCCATTCCATTTGCGTTATGGGCTTCATTCTTGCGACGATGTGCTCGGGACCATCATATTGATCAGGCAGAGGCTGTGTTTGTTTTTATTCGCAAGCGTTTTCAACTAACAAGCGAACAAAAGGCGGAGTTGGTGGAAATTATGATGCGTATGTTTGCAACACTACCACAAGGAGATTTTACCTCCGCTATGGCTCTCTTCTTGGAACACGTCTTGCGTCACCCCAACGGAGATCCTTCGGTGAGTCCCAGCGCAACGATGTACAACCTGCTGATTCGTGCCGCAGACTCACGCAATGCCGCCATGATGACATTTCTTGAGGCGTGTGCCGCAGGGGTTGAAGTAAACGATGAAACCTTTGAGGCGGTCATGGGCTGTCACCGCCACACCTCCCTCGCATCGCTTACGCGAAAGCTACCTCATGACTACCATGCCTCTAAGCTTGACGAGCAGCTGCACATTCCAACGAACGTGGATGCCCATTTGCGCCGGGAGGAGGCGATGAGATTGCGCGGAAAACAGTTGGTAGACTCAACAGGAGAGGTAAACTGAGTTAATAAAGTGACGGTGGAAAGATTATGCCGTTGTATGCGCCTGTATATGGTGATGTGGTGTGGCGTGATGTGGAATTTGTTGTGCGTGTAACGGTCCTGTCTGATTTAAACGCCCTCCTGCCTGGCCACTCAGCACCGATGGAGAGAGAGAGGGGTTGACAGAGGGCGAGTCAGCACAGCAACAAGGAAACAATTTTTAAAGCAAGAAAGCGAAACAGCAATACATTCCTGTTGATTTGCTGTTTTATTACTATTGTTATTGTTTTGTTTGCACTGGCTTTTTTATTATGTGTGCGTGTGTGGCGTTTGCTGGATGTGTTTGTGCTTATTCTTTGTTGTGGGTTTTTTTTTCCGTTTTGGTTATTTATTCGTTGCTATTTTGTTGTTTTGTCCGCGTGGCGACTTGAAACCTTGATGGAAGAGCGTAGTGGACGCGAGAGAACGTCAGGTAGGAGGAGGCACGAAGATCGGAGTATCCTTGCGTCAACACCCAAGCAAGAGCGCGAGGAAGAGAAGTGTCATGTTGGTGCCATCTCTCGCGCAGGGAGATGATGTTTCACTTGGCTCATTGCCCGTGGATTCTGCCCGCGTCAGTGTTGTCCCGCTGATTCAACCGCGCCACCAGAAGAAACAGCGGTCGTGTCGATACATTGAAGTAACGGACTCCGCAGAAGACCGCTTTTCAGCCACCTCAGCACTCCGAGAACATACAAAAGAACGTCTTACGGTTCATAATGGTCCAATGACTTATGCACAGGAAATGTACTTTCACCCGCATGAGCTGTACAAACATGGAAAGCATCAGATACACACCAGCAGTGTGGGATACAGCAGCGGAGGCGATCTTGTGCTCACACGCGAGGCCGTCTCAGAGCCAAGCGATGTGGATATGGGGTTTTTGCGCCGCCGGGCTGAAATTGATAGGGCCATCTGTTTGGACCCCAAAGCTCGTCGACCCCTGTTCGAGGACGAAAAGAAGAAAAAGTTGCACCTTAACGCACCCAGGTATCGCAAGTATCCTGGTATCCGTGCTCCACGCAACCGCAAGGAACGCAATCGTCTTTTGAATGATTACTTTGCCAATGAATATGCACGTAAAATTATGGACAAATACCGCGAGCGTCAAGCGAAGGGAGAGGGAGACAGCGATGCATCACCTATTGTGCGCCCTGCATTTGGAAATCTTCCGCCGTTTTTCTACAAGATGCTCGACCTTGATGAAGACGCCCAGACGCGTATACTTGAACGGTGTGGGGTCGACATGCGACCATTCTCAACTCATGTGCCCAAGGACCCCGATTCTGGAGAGGCACGCTTTCAAGGCATGAATTTGCGTTTGAGGTCAGAGTTGGTGCATGCACTGAGCAGTGAGTTTCTTACGCGACAGATTGATGACTTGGAACGTGCCTTTGCCGCGTTCATTGCAGAAGAAAATGTGAATAAACCATTGGTGTACAATTTTCGTGATGGGTACGGTCGCCTCGTGTGTCACGGTGTTGCAGCGTACTATAATCTCGTTTCTGAGTCGCAGCAGCAGCCAGATGGCTCCAAGATCACCGTTGTAAGTTGGCCAAAAAGGAAGAAACATGCCTCTGTGCCACTTACTTTACCCCATGTTTCACTTATGAATATGCTTCGAAAGAAGCGTGGGGAGATGCCAATTGCTTCTGCCATGTCCACACCGCAGGCCACACCGAATGCGCTTGCTGCAGACCCGGATCTTGTGCCCCCAGTATTCAGCCTGGACGCCACCCCAGTGGATCATGCATTGCCCTCTGGCTTAACTCCTAATTTGGAGCAAGGCAATTCAACGGACGATGGAACTCCTCATGTTCTTTCAGTTTATGAGCCACTGTTTGGGGAATCCACTGAGAGCACGACTACGACAGCCACACAAAAGAAAAAAATGCGCAAGGCGCTGAAGTTAGCCCAGTAGAAGAAGGGCGAGCTGGTCCATAAACCCCGACATTTTTTTTTTTTTTTCAACGCCACATGACGTTGAATTTTTTTTCTGTTTGCTTTCTTTTCCACCACCTCTTTTTTTTAGTGAGGCTGAGTGTGGAGAGGGGGGGGGGGAGGCTCTCGCGTGATTTCTCTCCATGAATACAAGCGATGAAGAGGGATTCAAAGGGAAATGAACGCATTTTCTTCCCTTCTCCTTTCCCCTCCTTTCCCCTCCTTTCCCCTCCTTTCCCCTCCTTTCCCCTCCTTTCCCCTCCTTTCCCCTCATCTCTCCTCATCTCTCCTCCTCCCTTCTTATCCCTTCTGTTTTGCCCCATTTCGTTTGCGGTGTGAGCAATTTGGAAGAAACCCATACGAATAGAGCTATCTACGCATGAGTGGAAGCAACTGTTTTGTGAATAGCATCTGCATGCCTGTTTGGGGGAATGGTTTGAGTTCACCTTTTCGACTCAACGGCGGCTAAGAAAGAAAAAAAAAAGCGATGGGCCATTTTTTCTCGTGTTTGCTTTTGGTTTTGAATTTGCTAATTTTGTTTTGTATCTTTGCTGGCTTATGCGCCTGTGATGTGGCGGATGACCAGTTACTATTATTATTATTATTTTTTTCCTTATTGCTGCGTTGTCCAGCAAACGCGCGGCAACACACGGAGGGATGTGGGCAAAGCAAGAAGAGAAGAGGGAGGATGAGGGAGAAGAACGATAAAGAAAACAGTTATGCGATGCCTTATGTAGCCAAGTATGTGAAGTATACCTCGGCATTAGCGATGACAACAACAGAAGGAAAGAAGTAGATTCTTTGAGAAGGACTTTTTGTGTGTGTGTCTTTTTGCGTAGGTATATTTCTTTTTGTTTGTTTAAGAGGTCAGGCAGTTTACCCCTCCGCCGTTCTTCTGCGGGTGGAAATAGAGCTTCCAGTAATATAACTTCATTTGTCTCTTTCTAAGTCTGCACGCACACATCTGTGCCTGCATTCATCATACGTTGGCGGCTTAGTGGTGTTTCCAGGTGTTGCGTATTTATCTGTCAAGCCAGGTAAACGCGCGCGTCTACTTTTCCAACCACATTTTCTGGGGCGTGTAGAAACACAGAAAGGTCGTTGTGGAAACCGGGATATGTGCGCGTAAATGGGGCAACAGGAAGTATGGGATGTAACTTACATCCTGCCCAGGGGAAACAAGGCGGTTTATCGACAGGTGCCGCTGTACAACATGAATGACCTTTGTGAACTCACTCGTGAAGTGGTCATAACGTCGTTAAAGACGCAACACAAAAACATTTTGCACCGCTCTGAAAGTGATGAAGAGTGTGTCAGTCCTGAGTTTCTTGTTTATCACGTGCCACCAAAAGGACAAGGGCATCTTTGCCCCATGTTGCTTTCCCGAGGTGGGAATAGTTGGGATTCCCTTCTTCAACGGCAAGCTGATGCATCTCAAATAATTCTCCAGCTTATTTCACGCAAAAGTCAGGCGAAAGGCGATAACACCCTACCTGCTATGGTACGTGTTTCCACTTCAAACTCCTCACTTCTGGAAGACACTAAGGCACAGCAGCCCTCGTTATGCCACGTTGATAACGCGGTGATCACGGAGGAAAAAGACAGAGATGTGGTTCCACTTCTGTTGAGGGGAGATGGAAGTCCGGTAGATGCGGAGGTAACTCACGTCTCATCGTACAGTGTGGAATTGAAGTCCATGAACCCCCAACTTCGAGCCGCCTTGGCGCGTCTGCGGGAGCGCGTGGGTTCTTGGCCGCATCTAAGGAGTCGCTTATCGCCACTTCCACAGGATAGTTACACTCTGGAAAGCGGTGTTGCCTCAACAGTAGGTGTATTTGCCCTCACCTACGTCTTTAGGTATGTTGAAAATGTTCGACGTGGGCGTGATGCCGGAGGGCTGAACATGATGGATAAATTGCCTTCATCTTTCATGTCGCGCTCTGAGCTGGTGTACTTTGCGGCAGCGGCTGTGAAGATTTGGAAATCTCAGCTGGTGCTGAGCTTTGCAGCCATGAATAAGAAATGGATCGAGCTTCCTTCATCATTGCGGAATGCACGGTGTGACTGCCTCAGGATTCTCGTGTGTGAGCTGTGGTCGCGGCTCTCTGATGCCAATCAGTTAGAGCAGAACGGTTACAAAAAGCCAACAAAGGAATCTTTATCCTTATTGAAAGAAAACCAATGTGGGATGTTCTTCACATGCAATGAGAAAAACACAGAAAGGGTTGAGGCAGATGCGGCACTGCTTCTCATTGAGGAAGTGACGTACTGCTCCTCTACAGGACCCCTCTCTGTGCCCATGGGGAACCCCAGGAGAGGTGGACTTCTTGTATCCTTGCGTGCACCAAAATACATCTGTCTCCATGAGGAAATCGTTATCGTTGGGTGTATGCACTCCAGAAACTCAATCGGACTGTTTTGGTGGCTTGTGGATCTTGGACCATGCGCGGATTCACTGGAAATGACCAATAGAGAGGGGAACTCTTCTGTTATTCTACCCCTTGATGCGCTATACTTGCAGCGTCGTATTGCAACATATCAAATAACTCCGAGCACGTTTGTGCTTATCATGCAACCCGGGTTGATTCTGTCGTCTCGGCGATATCAGTGTGTGGTGGAGGCATATAATGCCCGAACAGGTGACGTGGCTGTCAGCGAAGTGAGCTTTGACTCGCCACCTACGGAAGCGCCACACTAAAAGGAATCACGCATGATAAATGTGAAAAGATGATCAAAACCAACATAATTTCTTTTGACTTATTGTCGTAATTTTTTTTGCGTTTCAGCCAGATGTGTACGATGGGACCCACACCAAGACTGGTGGCTCATTTTTGTTCCTTACGAAAACCAGCAAGGCAAGAACAAGCCCCCGTGTTGACTAGGTAAGCTCTGTAAGGTTGGAGAAAGTGCTGCGATGGGGAGTTCTTGGGTCTTCAGTGAGAAAGACATGTATTATTCTTATTATTAGTCTTTTTTTTTAACGTGGTATTTTTTGAGGTGGACAGCGTCTTCGGGTCTGCTGCGGGGTTTTATCGTCATGTAGGAGCCGCACACACCGAACGGCGTGTCAAACACTTTAATGAGGGGCAGAGAGGTCTTAAATATATGTGTCTGCGTGAGACTTATGTACTCTTGTTTTGTCTTTCTTTGTTATTTCCTTTACTCATTTTCTTTTTTGAAACGCTATGCCTCTGTGTAGGGTTTCCCTTTTTTTTTTTTTTTTTTCATACCTTCCGTGGGGTGGCTCAGTTGTGGGTTTCTGCGGAGCTCGTAGGGTGGGGTAAGCAGCGAATTGCTTTGGAGTGTTTTACCGCTCAGCCTCTGTAAGACGCCGGAGCGAGAGCTCCCTACTCCCATCAGAAGTCTTCTCCCGAGCGATACGCAGAACTGCGGGGAATAGTGAGGGAGCTGCAACAATAAACACAGACAAAAGGAAATATCTAAAATTGAAGGAGTGGGAGGAAGAAACAGAAGACAAAAGCAAAAAAAAAACAGTGAGGGAGAACGCCGTCAAGAGAGAGAAATGAGGCTGTTGTATGGGTCACCTTTACCCCCTGGATTGGAGGGACCAACACGCGGCGAGCTTCGTATTCGAATAGAGAAACTGCTCCTGAAGGATGAGTTGGTGAGTACGGGCGCTTCGTCAGATGTTTTATCCGCAGGCTCACGCCCATATCCCATACCCATCGATCACTGTGCGGTGAGTCCCTTGTTTTGGGGTGAGCAGCATCCCACATGTCATTGTGTGCCGGCAACTCCCGGAAAGTCACGTGGTGCGGTGTCGCTTGTCTACCCCCTAAAAACATATGAACCGCAATTCAGGGAGTATCTCTCTCACATGAGCCATTCCAAGCATAGAGGTGTTCAGTTTTCTGTATTTGTTCCTAGTAGTTATAGTGGGCGGCATCGATCCATTTCTGTAGGAAAAAGCATCATTGCCTTGGACACTCTCAAGCCCTCTTCTCCTGTTTCTGGATGGTTTGCCATTATGAGTGATGAAGCGTTAATTTTGTCAACTATAAAAGACGACGAAAAAAATCTGAGTTTGAGTTCAGTGGAAGTGGGAAGGTTGAGAATGACATTTACTGTGAACTTCTTTGCACGTGTTCCCCTGCTACCCGAACGTCAGGCATTCCGCGGCACTCACAAGGCATGCTATGACCAAAGAGCTAGAGAAGAGAAAATGGAAAGTCCCGGAATGGTACAGGATAGGGGATATAGTGAACAGGAGCTGCAGTCTGCACAGCTTTTGCCACTAGTCTCACCGGACACTGGTGCAGCTGCTGAGTCCCACAAACAGCAATCGCGGCAAAAACAAGAGGCACAACAGCGTGTTCATCAGGGCAGTGATATTACGAAAATGGAAGTATCAAAATTACCAATGTCGCATGAGGATCCAGTACCTACTGCTGGAGATGCTCCTCATCAGTCACCATCCGTATTTCATCCCACCGTCACATCGGTAATAACTAATCAAGATGCTGTCATAGGTGAGTTGCTTCAAAGGGGTATTAGTCTACGTGACAAAATGGCGAGAGTGCTATCGCATTCTACGGGTATTGATGATCTGATCTCTTCATCAAATGTTTTCTCTTCTCAACCACTGCTCAGCATGCTTGGGGACCCTTCGGGCTACAGCTCCCCACTTACTGGCGTTGTGCAGCTTGACGACGGTCTCGTTATTCCACATGACCCATCTGAAAGTTCCGTGAGTTCGGCAAGTGTTGAGACTGTGGTGAGTGAGACCGATGAATTGGGTAATGACGCTGATCCTGAGGTTGATGCAGGTGGAGAGAAGCCAGGGACATTATGTGATGTTCCAACTGGAAGACGTGCTTTTAGATTACCATTTCAGTCACCAGGAGCATTCCAAAATGGGGATATATATGTAGAGGTAGACCTCTCTCGGATTGCCTTTTCCTCAGGACAAGTAACACTTGGTATGGAGGAGATGCGTGTGGGCATTCGACTCTCGAAGGATGTTAAGACTGATGAGCCTGTAGAGTCTTATTCATCCTATGTTCACCGTGTCCCTCTTGTTCGCGGAGCCGAACATCACATCGTGATAGGTTTTTCAGTGCGTTCATTTAGCGAAGACAGAAGTCGAATGGTCATATCTTTTTACCGGGTGCGTTCTGCACCGGTACCAAATCCTCCTGGTGAAATATTGTTGCCTGTGCCCGCTTCAGCGCAGAGGGTGCTTGTGGAAGAGACCCTGCTTGGAATGTGCATCGTTGGTCTACACAATCAATTTAGGGATATTGCTCTCCATGACCCTATCACTGGTGAAGATCCCACGCAGGCCCATTTACGCGTGAGTATTCGGAGAGGCAAATCACCCGTGTCGGAAGATGGGTTTCTGGATGAGTTACCCACCAAGGAAAGAGATGCTAATCAATCTGTTTCAGGCTTGGAGGAAGCTGGGAAAGGCATGCTACTCTCAAATACCAAAAAACGTAATGGCTTTATTGAAAGTCAACATAACACCAACGCCACTAAGTCTACGATGAGGTATTCACGCAAATGGCAGCGCAATGTAGCTGGACGGAGTTTCTCTTCTTCTTCTGCTTCTCTATCATCTCCCACATCGTCATCATCTACGGGGGACTTACCACCCAGGGTGAAAGTGAACACTGCTGATGATAAACAGAATGGTACTGGTGCTGGTGGTTGTAGTGGTGCTTCGCCCGAGTTGAGGTATGTTCATGGGAAATGTTTTTCTGACTCCTCAGCCGCCCAAACTCCGAGAAATGTAATGGTAAAAGAAGCTGCTTTGAATAGAGATCAGCACACATCTACTCCGAAAATGGGTTCGTTGATGGCTTCCAATTTAGTTGATGGCTCTGGAGATGAGAAGGCTGCCCGTTGTGCTAACACCACTGCAATGGCAGCCCCCTACGTGGATCGGGCATTGACGAAAACGACCCAAGGACGATTTCGTATGCATGTATCGATACGTGCTGGAAAGGAGTTACCGATGGTAACAATAAGTCAAGAGGGTACCACGTTGCGGCCACTTGTTGCCGCTGTGGATCAATTAGAAAATGGTGTACGCTCTGCCGTCACGTCTGATGGACGTCTTGTCCTTGTTGACAGCAAACATCGTGTATTTAAAGCCCCCACAACGTTTTTTGTTGTTGAGGATGTCTTTAATGGGATAGATTCTCGGGCTGCATCCAAGGGAATTGTGCCAGACTGGTTTGTAGAGGCCGCCGTGCGTGGGAAGTACGACCGCACCTTGATAATCCCTGAGTCTCAGAGCCCACAATATGATTATGAATCCGTCCTATCTCTTCCTAGAGAGGCTGTTTTCCTTCGACATGCTGTTGATAGCAGAAACGCCACCCACCACGAAACATCTACGCTTTTTCCATTAGAAGACAACGCATCCAATGGTTTATTTTGTTTGCGAGAATTGCGCCTAACGCTATGGCATACCGTAGCCGACACAAATATACCGTCATCTTCTACGTGGAAGGACGATGAGGAACGTTTCTGGGTCCACACTGCCATATTGGGTGAGTGCCGAGTAGATCTACGCTCCTTGAGATTCCTCAAGCTGCTTGATGGGTGGTACCGTATAAACGCTGTTGATAGAGCGGACGAGGTAGTTGGGTACGTCCGCGTTAGCGTTCGGATGCTTTAAGCGACTGCGGCTTAGCGGCGCGAACATAACAGAACGAAGCGATGCAATAAAAGGAAGCAAATAGGACGGATGAAAGAGTAACCTGAAGACATACTTATGGGAGTGAGTCAGAAAAAGGATGGGCCTGACCAAAATAGAGGACTTGGAAAAGGCAACAACAAAGCTACGAAAAACAAACCTAGAATACGACCACTGCATATTGATATGGTTAACGTAAATGGTTGCACCCTTATATCACTTATTGTTTCGACGTTGCAACATGGATTTCGATAGATGATTAGCAAAAAAATAAATAAAAACAGCAGTGAAAAGAAGGAAGAAGAGTGTTTTGTCTGCTGTGCGCATTTGCACACACCACACACGCACAGAGACGCACAGAGACACACACATGTGAAGCCAAGATGCCACTGAACCCTCGTATGCGCATTCGTCTCATTGGCCCTAGTGGGCACAAGTCGGACTACCACTGTGCCACGCTGCTTGGGAACTGGCAGGAGGAACGAATGACATTTGGGCTGAAGGATCCTGCAAAGGGGCCGCTGGAAACCCAGACGACGTATTTGGCGTCGTACAAGGGCAGCAAGGACGAGGAGGAACTCTTCGCTGCGAAGCCCCCTGGCTGTTTTTGCGCTGAGGCACCAGTGCAGCTTCTCTTTTACCACGGCGACATTGCTGCGCCGCCGCAAAATCAACTCACCGTACACGAGCTCAGTTACACCCATCCGACAATGGACGCCACAGCGAACTCACTTAAAGCGATCCTTGATGAAGAAGGCATATC